AAATTTAAAATATAAGTAAGTAAGTAAGTACGTAAGTAAGTAAGTAAGTAAGTAAGTAAGTAAGTAAGTAAATAAATAAATAAATGAGTGAGTGAGTGAGTGAGTGAGTGAGTGAATTATATTATGAAATAGATTACTGTTCAGAACTTTGGTTTATTTTTTGTAGTATAAAATGTTTTTTAAAAGCATGTTAACAACTTCCAACTAAACTGGCTTATTTTTTCAATATCCAGCTTAACTAAGATATTCCAAATCAAGTTTCGATTCTTATGGAGACAACCAATATTGTCCTCATATATATTGCACTGTCATTTAAGGACAATTTAGGAGGGGACTGAAAATGGGGAGCACTATTCTGCAGTGGTTCTTCTCCTTACTTTGAGGCTGGTTCCAGTAATATTAGTGGTAAGGAGGCATCTAGCCCTAGGCCACTACTTTGTGAAGTGCCTTAGGGATCTACTCTCTCCCTGCTCTTGTTAACACCTGCATGAAACCGTATCTATTGACCTCATGGGACAAAGTATAATCAGTGCTGATGTTACTTAATTATACATCTCTGCTTCTGATAAACCAGGAGATGCTTTTTGGTACCCAGAAGCTGTGGAGGTCCGGATGGGGAAAAACAAGCTTCAGCTCAACCCTAGCAAGACTGAGTAGCTATTGGCTTTGGAGTGCCCTAGATCTGGAGATCTAAATGAGATAGCCTTCCCTCAGATAGAGTTGATTCACAATATGTGCGTCCTTTGCCCAACTCTATTTTATCTGCCAATTGAGTCTGTTTCTAAATTGGAAGGGTCAGAATGAATCAGCAAAGGCAGTTTTGTGCACAGTGCAGTATGGCCATTGGAGACACCAATGCTCCATGAGCTGCACTGGTACCTAATAGGATTCTGGGTGCAATTCAAGGTGCTGGTTGTCACCTACAAATCCCTGCATGGCATACAGTTATTTGTTGGACCACCTATCTCCAATTTTCTCTGCTCATACCACTAGATCTGGCATACTTCAGGCAAGCTTCAGGTCCCTTTGTGAATCTGTGTCTTCTAATGGGACCCAGGGAATGTGCCTTCTTTGTTATGGCACCTGCCCTCCGAAACAGTGTTTCCCCTGAGATTTGGATGGCCCCAATCCCATTAGTCTTTAGAAGTACTTTAAACACATGATTCTTCCTCCACGTGCTGCGGCCAGAAACTTAGATGAATTAGACTGTATGATTGAATGAGATACAGTGCTTTTCGTGGGGTTTGGCACTTTGTATATTCTTTAGTGGTCTTGTTGTTATAGGCTTTGTTTTGTTTTTACATTTTTAGGTTGGATTTGTGTTTTTAGTTTTTTTAATGTACTGCTAGCCACCCAGAGTTGTGAGAGTAAGATGGGTGACCAAATAAATTGAATAAATGAACAAAAAAATAGATTTTGTTTGTAATTTCATAAGTAAATATATTAAAATATTTTATAAAAGGTAACTTTGTTCTAGTTTATTTTATACAGTAGAAAAGTCAACAGCTGAAAAATAGTGATTTAAAATGCCTTTTGGGTGTCTGCCCAAATCTTACCCAGCCTGTTAGCAATTCCAGTCTTCACAGTATCAATGCAGAGGTGGCTTATGCGATTTTCATGTTCAGGTTTTGCCAGTATAACTGTTCTGATGTTCCAGAGAGTATGGATTGCTATCTAATTTTAAAAAATAGTAAAAATCAGCTGCTGCACACCTCCACCTAAATCTAGCTATCTGTATTACAATAAGCAGAGACTTATACATAACCCTTCTCCAAGAACTTATATTGAGTTTTTACAATGTTCTCATGATCAGAGAACCAGTTGTGTTCAGAAATAATGTACTGAACAGAAGCAGAATGTTGAAGAGGTGTTAACACTATACATTCTATAAATATTTTTCATTAAAGAGTAGTGGAATGAATCCAAGTATATAGTCCCACTATTATAATGGAGCCATTAAAATCTTGAAAAACAAAGCAGGGTTGGACCTAGTTCATACCTGGTTCACCCAGGCCTTTGGCAAGGGAGAATGAGACCCCTCACTTCATCATGCTTGCCATCTTTTATCTTTCTTTTGTATGTTTTATTGATTTTATTGTAATTTCTTTGTTGGATTGTTGTGAGCCACCCAGAGTTGTTCGGTCAGACAGCAAACAAGTTCAAATAACAACAACAACAACAACAACAACATTGGTAGGACACCAGTAGAAATTTGAGCCCATTAAGCTAAAAAAGCAAAGCATGTAAAACAAGGCACATAGTAACTAAAATCTGCTGAACCTGCTTAATTATGGTCTGCTGTATATCGCTTATTCTTAGTTTATAACTGACTTGTATACATATATTTGGTGCCTTTGAGTTAGTTTTTTGGCCTGACGACTGCCTGGACAAATCCCTGCAGTTTTCTTGGCAAGATTTCAGAAGTGGTTTGCCACTGCTTGCTTCCTAGGGCT